GCCTTGGACATATTTGTCATAATTTTGGAGCTCTTGTATATATTTTGGTTTTAGTTGCCCATCTTTTGTTGATTGTGTTTGGAATTTTGTTTTCTTTCGTGGTTTGTTTTGATTCATTCTTTTCAAAAGCGTTTAGCGCACTCGCTCCTGAGTGGCATTAGCTACCTTTGGTCGCAGTCCCGCACCCTGGGGCCCTCCGACAAGTATGATAGGGGTCAGGAAGTTGGGTTGTGACACAATGTTATTAGAGTCACTTTGCTTCGGCCGAAGAAGCTGAAGTTTTTGGATTTTTGACCTAGACTGAAGTGAAGCGAAGCTCCAAATCATAAGCTTCGACCTTTTTTGGGCTACTTCAATTTGATTCGGCCTTAGTGGAAGATTGGTTTTTATTATTGGATTTTGTTTATTTATTTTAGCAGTAGAAGGAACGGTCATAGCTTATATTTATGGTTTTAATTTTTGTTTATAATAGTATTTTGTAACACTTGTAAGTGGAATTCATATTCACTAATAAAGAGAAGAATTCCACATAGCCATATCTTTTGGTTGGAAACCTTCTTTTCCTTATACTATGCACACAAAATGAAACTTATGTTCTCCATTATTTCAATGTGACTTGTTTAATTAGTCGTACATAATTAAAGGCCTAGTTTTACACTAAAGGCTCTGGTAAATCTTCTTTATGTGAAGAGACATGACAACAACAATAGATATAACAACCAGATATTAAGATCTGTTAGTGTCTAAGTGTCTAATTGTATGTTATACGTATATAGAAATTGTATCCTATAGTTTTAACAAGTATTGGTTGTACCCTCTATATAAATCCACAATTATATTGCAATCTTATTCATTCACCTGGTCTCTTTTTGATCTGCTTCTCTAAGCACCTCGGCCCATGCTTTACTCCTTTTATGAGAAAGATTATTTCTCACATGGTATCAGAGCCTGGTTCTCTACTCTCAATCTCACTGGTCTCTCTTTGATTTGCTTCTCAGTAAGCACCTCGGCTCAGAAGTCTTTGTCATCGGTGCTTTGCTCCTTTTCTAGTCTCTCAGAAACACGACATTCTCTCTCTCTCTCTCTACTAAAACAGGTACTCTTCTATTTCGGTCTCTATAATCTCACCTTTTTTTCTTCTCTTTATTTTCTCTCTATCTCTAAATCTCTATCATCCTTATCTCTTAATCTCTGTTTAAAACCTCAAAGACCTCCTCTAAATCTCTTTACTCTCTCTCTCTCTCGGTCTCCCTCTAATATCTCTCAGACCTCTCTAATCTCTCTCTCTCAGACCTCTCTAATCTCTCTCTCTCTCTCTACTCTTTCTCTGATATCTCTAAATCTTTGTCATTCATATTTCTTAGTTTTTATTTTTCAAACCTCAAAGATCTCTTCTAAATCTCTCTACCCTCTCTCGATCTCCCTCTAATCTCTCTCAAACCCTCTCGGTCTCTATTTTCAAACCTCAAGGATCTCTCTCAAAGATTTCCTCCAATCTCAATCTCTCTTTTAAAAGATCCCCTCTGATCTCTTTCTCATAACCTCTCGATCTCCCTCTTATCTCTCTTAAAGATCTCCTCTAAAATCTCTCTCAAAGATCTCCTCTAATCTTTCTCATTCATTTTTCTCTTTCTCTAATATATCTCTCAAAATCTCTCGATCTCTCTCTTACCCACACACCACCCCCAAATCTAAATCTCTCTCTCTACCCCCAAATCTTTCTCTCTAAGAGATTTTCTCTCTCTCTACGAGACTTGGGATAGGGCTGCCGCTCTCTCAAGTGCTGCTACCTGGTGGGCTAGGACTCCTTTGTTTATCAAGAGGAGGCATCTGCTGCTTTCTGTTCTTTATTAGATTCTCCTCGGTGCGAGGGCTGTTGTTGTACTTGGGGATCCGAGATTGGTCCTCTCTCTCAAGGTTGCGTAGAGACCCCTCTTGAAGGTGATTGTGAGCTCTTCAGGGAACATACTATCCTATCGCTCTCTTTAAGATCTCTGTTATTTCATTGACCTCTCTCTCTCTCTCATTCATTTCCCTTCAAATGGAAAAATTTTGTCATTTCCAGCTTGTACCCATTAAACTCAATGACACCAACTACACTTTTGGGGCCTCATTTTATGCGGAATGTTATTTATAAAAAAGGCTTCATCGGATACATAGATGAGACCTAGAAGAAACCTGCTGAGCCAGGAAAAATAGAAAAATGAGGCATAAATAATGTTCGAATTATATCATAACTCATCTGAAAGTAATATAGGGATCAATATAAGCACTTTCAAAACTACTCGAGAAGAATAGAAATTTTTTGAGAAATTTTATAATTAGACTAATTTGGCACGAAAGTACCAGTTAGTACAGGAACTTCGCTCCCTCAAACAGGGAAAACAGTTAATTCAGGATTTTTACTCTTCCATGAAGACACATTGGGATGCTTTAACACTTATGGAACCTGCGATTGAAGATGGTTTTAGCGCAAAGAGGAATTTCAAATTATTAAATTTTTAATGGTACTCCGTCCAGAGTTTGAGAGTGTCAGAAATGGCCTGGTCCACAAAAGCTCTCTCCCCACTCTGAATCAAGATCTTTCTGAGCTTATTACAGAAGATTAAATCTCTTAATTCAGGATTTAAAGGAGAAACAGTTTTTGTGGCAATCCAACCTTAGAGATCAAATGTGCAACTACAATAGATATGACAACCGGATATTGAGATATGTCAGTGTTTAATTGTGTGCTATACCTATATAGAAATTGTATCCTATAGTTTTAGCAAGTATTGGTTGTACCCTCTCTATAAATCCATTATTGTATTGTAATCTTATTCATTCATTAAAAATACAAAGAAATATTATTTCTTTAATTGATAATAAATAATTGTTTGGAAAATAACATTAAAAGGCACAAATCATACTATAAATTAATAAAGGGATCAAAAAATCTTATTTTATACAGTAGGGCATTTTTTTTAGTTTCATTTGATAAAGGTACCTCCTTAAAAATTTGTTTTACCAAATTCCATATATTCATGATTGGGTACATGAGAAATTAGAGGTGTTGTGTTTTGACAAATCGGCACAACTTAAGCAACCCAATTTATGAAAATATCTCTATTTGTTCAATGCCGGGAATACAACTCTTAAATATAAAAAATAAATTTACTTTCTTATTGCCAAATCTAAACCAAGGGTATTTTAGTTATTCGACAGTTGCATTTTTCCAATCCTAAGTAATCATTGTATTTTTGTAATTAGCTTGAGCCACTTAGGTAAGCCAAATTACTAGTACTCCTGTTTTTCTTTGGGTGAGTTAGTCGGGAGAGGGCCCCTATCCTTGAATTGAGCCTATGAATTGTGCTTAAGATGTAGCGTTGCAAATCGTCGAGTACTAACTAATTAAGGCTGAGCTCTTTTCCTAAATTACTAGTGCTCTTGATTATTCAAGATTCCAAAACTCAAATAGAAATAATTTGGGAACTTTTGATTAGGTGGTTTTGAAGTCCGAACTATTAGTTTTGGACCATTTGATTCCTTAGGATGTGAGGTTAGAACTATATGTGTCCATTTTGATTCCTTATATTAAGTTTGTTCCGGAGAACTTTGTTTCCTTACATTGAGCTATTGAGAAGTTATGGTTCTAAACTGCTTTGTCTTTAGGAAAATTGTTTCATGCAGGTTGGACTGCATTTCTATGATATGAGGTCCCAAGGTATGAAGCATCTATCTTAAATATGATTCATTTAAAAATAATTGAAACTAATGGTCCAAAAGTTTTATTTATAAAATCATTATTTTTATTTCTTAAATTTTTTATTTTTTTTTATATTCATGATCTCCATGTTAGAGGTTGCATGTCCTTAAAATCTGGGTCCGAAAATCCATCTAAAAAATAGATTTTTAATAGTCGACTCATTTCTAAATGGACTCATAGAAACCATGTCCGTCTTTATAATGAGCAGTCTTGAAATATGAGTTCCAAACCGCTTTAATTTCTTAGAATAAATAATTTAAAACTAATAGTTTCGAACAATTTTGATTCAACAAAACTAATTAGTTCCAAACCAAGGTATTTAAAGAAGGGAAAAGTTTATATAGAACCTAGGCTCTAAACAATCAAATTAGATCCTACCTCAAAAATTTAAATAGAAGAGGTTGTTTTGATGCCCAAATATCCTCAAATTGATCATCTCGACATCAAGATGCATGGACTTGAGAAAAAAATGGATATCAAGTTTTGGAAATAGTGCATCTTGTAAGGTATTTTTGGATCGTCAATTTTTAAGTTATTCAAGTTTTCATAGATCTGCTCGATCAGTACTATTTTAGAAGCTTTAAATTTTATAATTGAAGATAAAAAATATATTTTAAGACTAATCAAATATTTCCACTATTGAAACCACACTATTTGAATGTGGGCTCTAATTTGATTATTTAGAGTCTCGGCGAAAGGGTGCGGTTTATCAAATTAGAGCCTACCTTAAAATATATTTTCATCTTTATTTATAAAGTTTAAAGCTTCAAAAATAGTGTAGATGGACAGATCTATGAAAACTTGAAAATCTAAAAAATTGACGGTCCAAATATGCGTTACAAAATATACTATTTCCAAAACTTGAAATCCATTTTTTTCTTATGTCAATGCATCTTGACATCGAGATGATCAATTTGAAGATATTTGGGCACCAAAATAGCCTCTTCGAGTAAACTTTTTGAGATAGGCCCTAATTTGATTGTTTAGAGCCTCGGCTCTATATAAACTTTTCCCTTAAAGAAATTAAAAATAAAAGACACGAGGATAAAATCTAGACACAACTGCATTTTTCAAAGTGCGGTTAATTACAAGCACTACTAGCGTACATTGATTGCCTTTTGTTCTTTATCTTTTCATTTGGGCCAGGGGCATTTTTGGGACTTTTCGCTGCCATTTTTCCCGCTTGTTGATTTGATTCAAAGTTAAAAAGTTACTGTTTTTGTAACGTTACCTTCGGCCGAGTATAACGGTAACGTACACTTTCAATCTCTCTCTCTCTAGATTTAAAATTTCTCCCTCACAACAGAGTCAATTTTAAATCTGTGCAACTTCAAATCATCTCTCTCTGCGAACCAATTTCTTTCTCTCAGTGACTTCAAATCCTCTCTCTTGCAGTAAATTCATTTCTCTCTTTGTAACTTAAAATCATCTATCTGTGCCTTCAAATTCTCTCTCATCAGTGACTTCAAATCCACTCTCTTGCAGTAAATTCATTTCTCTCTCCTGTCTCCCTCCAAAACATAGAAATGGAAGAACCAGCGCCATCCTCTCCTCCTCCAGAACCAACTTTCAGGGACATCACAAACCTAAAACTCCAACCCCAACCCCCAACTCAACCTCAACCTCAACCTCAACCTCAGACCCAAACCCTAACCCCAAAACTCCCCTTCTCCACTCCATTCCTCTTCCGTTCCTCCACACCCTTTCAAACCCCTTCGTCCACATTACATCGACGCAATTCCACCATTTCCACAACCTCTAAACAGCATGGCTCTCGCTCCAAAGCCATTCGCCTACTCAAAGCTTTTGAGATTGAGCAATCACAGTCTTCACGAAAAGTTCAGATCCAAAAGGAGAAAAGCCTCAAATCCATGGAAGATGCTCTGAAACCATGGCTTAATTTCTTGTTTGAAAACCCTAGTTCTTGTGGTTGTAAAATAATCGAAATGGCCCCTGACCAGGAGCCACAGAGCTCGGCCCGAGAACATGGAGGGAAGAGAGAGGGTGTTGCGATAAGAGGCGCAATGAGGAGCCCTAAGCGACAGAGGGCGAAGTCATGGAGGGCAACACCTTCTGATTCAAATGATGGGGGGTTCATGTCGATTTTGCAGGTTTCGCTGAAGGATGTTTGTAGTTTTATTGATTTGAAGCAGAGGATGGGGTTGTATCTCAACCCTAGTAACTGCAATGAGGTGCTTTCCATGATGAGCCAGGTTGCCAAGGTATGATTTGGGTTCTAGTTCACGACTTGTTGTGAAAGATAGATAATGGAAGTTCTTGATTTGATCTGATTCTGGGTTCCTCATTATTTAGAGCATTATAGGGTTTGATGTTTCAACCGGGCTTTCCTGTAATGAATTTTATGCTTATTAATTGTTGGGTAAATGATGGAAGTGTAGGTTTGCTTATATGATGGGTTTCTATTGATTTGGTAATGATGGTTTGGAATTGGATATGGGGCTTGATAACTATGGGTTTTATGTTTATATTTTGCAATTATTTGGTAGATAATGGAAGATATGGGTTGGGGCCTGTCTGGCAAGTGATTTGTGAATTTATGGTTTCCATATTTTATTCTCTAA